AACACTTTTGCAGGATGATGCTTGGAACTTGGTCACTGCCTGTTGCCTTGAAAGGGTTGACAGATTTCAAACTGCTTGCCACATCCTCGACTGTCACTACACTGAAGTCGGTAAATGCCCCTTCCGCCATTGGACCAGAGGGAGAACAGAGCTGAGGACGCTGGGGATCATGGACAACGTCACCAAACACCTTGCTAAGATCCGATATGGGTACTTGAGCAGTGTGCGATTGTTTCTTCCGGCCAACCACAGTATTGATGACTGACCAAAGTTTACGTTGGTCAGAAGTCTGGCACTGCTGGATGAAATACGTGTTCTTCAGGCTCCTGTCCAGCTTCCTGGCCTTGGCACGAGCAGTGCGGTGTTGACTGCGGAGATCATCATTGCAGCGGTTCTTCATGAGCAGTCGATGGAGTCTGTCTCGCTCCCGTACGCAGGCCACAAGTTCATCTGTTACCCACGGGCAGGGACGTCTATCCCGATTTCGCCTCATCCGCACGGGTGCATGCTTATCCAATGTTGACACTATGGAGGCGATGAAAGATGATGCAAGGGTGTTGACATCATCTATGGCGAGCAGAGAGGCCTGCTCTACACTGAGATCGCTGTTGAAGGTGTCCCAGTTTATCTTATGGATGCGGCGTGTAGGTCTGTAGCTGGAAGTACGGCCTGGTGCAAACCCTGCCACAGAGAGATTCCCAAGTACTGCAAAGTGGTCACTAATGTCTAGGTAGGCTATCTCACAAGGTCCCGTCAGCGGGGAAGTTGATAGGAAGAGATCAATGATTGACTCAGTAAGGGTGGTGGCACGTGTTGGTGAAGACACATAATTTGTCATACCAAATTTGTTAAACAAGTCAGTTACTCGTATGGCCATGGGTGACTGGTTCATTTTCATATCAACGTTGAAATCACCCAGCATGACAATTGCCAGAACCTTCTTTCCTGGTGCATGAACTGATGCGTCTAGGTTGGACTCCAGGGAGGTCCAGAATGCTACAGGTTTGTCCGGTGGACGATAACAGCATCCAACCAGCACTATGCCACCGGAAACGCTAACTTCTATCCACAGCAGCTCTAAGTCAGTCTCCAAGTCTTCGCGCAAGAACAGATTCATGGCAGTATATCCCAACACCACCACCACGTTTCTGCAATCTATCCTTCCGATGTAGCTTGAAATGTGGGATAGTAAGTTCACTGTCCAAGATATCTGGATTGAGCCAAGTCTCAGCCATACCAAAGACACGAATGCCTCTGTTTGACAAGAACTTTTGCACTTCGGATGTCTTGCGCCTGATACTACATACATTCAAGAAGGCAGTGTGCAGCATGGTCATCAGCAGGCATGGTTGATTTCAGAGCCATCGCTGACTGAGGGCGCGTGCACATTTGTTTCCACTTCCGAAAGGGATGCAGAATTAATTATTTGCTTGCGTGTCGTCACATGCTGTGGTTTCTGTGGTATCATCACTGACATCGGAGGCAGAGTACTTGTCGAAAATCCACTGTCTGGAATAGAGTGGTCTGGGCCAGAAGCGACGATCCAACGGCGTCTTGCTGCACGATGCGTGGACTACCAGTCTCGCAGACGACGACTTCTGCTTCTGAAAAACTTTACAGTCGAGAATTTTAATAGGGGGAGTCTTCAACTCCGATGAGCGACACTCCACGAAGCGTGCTAGCTGCTCCGGTGAGGCATCGCGCAGCAGATTGCCAACAAACACAACACATGTAATGGATTAGCTCTGGTATGTGCACTATTCTTGGGTTTGTGCACCCCTATATTCTATTGAATAGGGCTTGAAAGTGATGACGTCAAAACGGCCAGGGAGTAGTAAGTTGACATCAGATTTCTATTTTTGGATCCACTAAGGTGTGACTTTGTTGTTGTTATGTTGTTGTAGAAGTTTATTTAACGTCGCACCACAAACAGGCGATTTCGCCTCCTTTGATACATGTGGACGACAGAAGGAATGAGAGAGAGGGGGGGGACAGAAGTTTGGAGAGAGGAAGGGTAAAAATAAATAAGCAATCAACCTCAGGGCTACACCAAAGCAAAAACGGAATGGGAACATACTATATACAAAATAGCTTCATACATATATTATTGCAAAACACGTCTACTATTCTTCAGTCCGCTATACCACAGAAACACACTAGCCGAAAAGCATTTAAACGGAGCCATGATGCGCTTTTAGCAGGGCACAGAACTGAAGGTGGCTGGGTTCGGAACGGAGATCAGGCGGGAGCTGGTTCCGCAGGACTGCGCCGATGAACTGCATGGTCGCTCGACCCGCAGGACCGGGCCAAAATGGTACTCAAACGAGGTGGTGTGCTGCTCCCCGAGTGCGGTCACCAGTAACTCTCACGAAGAAGCTGGTGAAGAGGGAGCTAGCTCGGGAGAATAGACAACGACGGACAAAGATGAGGAGCTTTTAAAATGTTAAACATGTCCTCCAGGGTGGTGAGGCGGAGCTGTTCAAAGATCGGGCTCGTGCGCGACCACGGTGGCAGACCGAAGAAGCCACGGATAGCGCACTTCGTTAGACGTGTGAGGGGCTCCATGTTGCCAATTTGAAGTGACGGATAAAAGGCTTTGGAAGCGTACGACAACCTACCCTGGATCATCGACCTGTAAACAGAATCTTTGACGCCAGGGTGAGGCTTCGGCGGCTCCGCCACAGCGCACCTACTGACTTCCGCACCTGCTGGATTGTGTGATTGACGTGAGGCTCCCAGGAGAGCTGCCCATCTACCATTACGCCCAGGTACCGCGCTTGTTCCACAACTGCAAGGGCTGCATTCCCACAGTGAATTCGAATGTTATCTGTGTCAGGGGCTGGGCCTCTTGGGGTAATCAACAGAGCTTGCGTTTTCTTTTGGTTCAGCATTAGTCCGCGGTCCTCCACCACTGCGACAGGCCAGTGATGGCTGTGCTTAGAGAAGAGCACACTTGTTCGCAACTGCCCGAGGCTTCAATTGCAATGTCGTCTGCAAATTCCTGGTTTGTGACCTGCTGGGGCAAGCAGCATAGGCCTTGGCGGATAATGCTCGAAAAGGTGGCAGATTCTGCTCGAAAAGCAGTGAAATTGGCAGAACCATACAAACCTTATGGCGGGCAATTCCTCGAATTCTGCTCCATTTCTTTATCCACATACCAAACATGCATGAAACTTACCAGAAAAAGTACCGAATTCTGCCAATTTTTCTGCCGGCATTATCCGCCAAGGCCTAAAGCAGCATCGAAGGTTACGGATGTATAGTGTGAACAGGACTTTGCTATTGCCTAAGTATGTGGGTGCATAGCAACCCACTCACGTCGCATGCAGGTGAGACTTTTATTTTGCCACCAGTTGTAACCCCGCCCCCAGTAGCCAAATCAGTCAGTTTCACTGGCTACATCTCCATGCTGTGGGTAAGACCGCTTGAAATGTGCTTGGATCCATACAAAACTGGATCCAAGTGGATCCAATTTTTGAATTTTTGAAATTGTTGCTATGCTGTGACGTAGCACTTTCAAGCCCTATATCCAATAAAATGATATTAAAAATCACAACAAGAATAGAATGGGATACGGAGCTTGGGTGGGCTGTGACTCAGAGTTTCACGCCTGTGGCGATCATCAGACAGCCACAGGCGTGAAACTCTTGAGTCACAGCCAACCCAAGCTCCGTATCCCATTCTATTATTTTTGTATGAAGCTCTGCACCCCGGTGCATTGAGCACTCTTTCGAGGACCACACCCAACTTTCCGTGTATTAAAAATCACATCATTATTCTCGTAGATTTGAATACATGGAAGCCATATTATGCATGCCCGGTATGGATTTACCATGCATCTGCCGTAAGAGACCATCTGCCGTAAGAGACCGCTTTTTCTTGCACCAAGGCCAAGCAAGGCAAGGCCAAGCAAGGCAAGGGGCGGTCGCTTACGACAGATTTGACTGTATCGGGAAATCCCTGATTTTTCGCACCAATCTGCTACATGCAGTCATGAGATTCAACCATCATTGTGTCTGAAATGCGTAGATCTACGGTTGGAGTGCATTGTACTATATCAGTACATTGCTTTGTGGAGATGTAACACTTTTAGCACTTTGTAACTCGTAATGTCGCTAAAACCCCACACAATGCTCGTTTTGTTCCAATCTACAATGCAATGCTCCATAACGCTCTGATGCTCGGATAGTCTTATAAACTAATGCCGAATATAATGCCGGCAGTATCCGCTGGACCCTAACTGCGAGATGCTGCAGAAGACCAGGTTCAACCATTCTGGACGGCCATTCACCGCCGGTGGGCTACACGATACCGGAGGAAGTTCCGAACTACATGTAGATTCCAGTGAAAACCAAAGATTCCTTTGCTCCTGGACGCTCCGACGAGTTGTGACATCAGCCAGGTACGCAGTAACTAGTTGTTTCATCGCTATAGCGAGGACGACGCCAATCGGTAAACTCTCGCTCACAGCCATCACCAGCCTCTCAAAACCATCACTTGGCATCCCCCAGAGATGTCGGAGAAAGCCTGTACATATGCTACCAGTGAGTAGGTACTAGGTAGATCTACTACTACTAGGTGGATCTACTACTACTAGGTGGATCTACTAGGTATAGCCTATAGTATAGGTGCACAGTGGAGGAGTATGACCTGTCAGTACATGTAGTGTGGAAATGGAGATGTACGAGATGTGTTGCCCACAACAACATACATGCTTGCACAGTAAAACCTGACAAGGCGACCACTCGGATAAGGCGACCACCTGTTAAAGAACACCACTGGAACCAGGACCAAGGGATGCTATTTCCAGTCAATTGACCCTGGATAAGGAGACCACCTAGTAACAGAGCGACCACATCTTGAAGGTCCCTTGAGCGGTCGTCTTAGACAGGTTTCACTGTACTTGATCAGGAAGTTGGTTGCTCCCACACTGGAGCTCGTGCTTTTTCCCGCCGACCTGACAGGACACTCGACTCGCTGCCACTATTCCAACTTTTGAGTGTAGAAAAAAGGAAAAGAATAATTCGCAAAGACGGCTTACCAATTGCTATGCAATTGTGTTGAGAAAGGATATACATGATATTCGATATCAGATTCTGATGAAATCATACAATTACAAAGAGGATGATTGACGATGTGCACACGAGGTCATGGGGAGAACCATACAGAATCTGGGCAATGCATAGAAACTGATTGAAAAGCAAAGAGGAAATACCAGGACAGCTTCGAAGGGATAGAAGAATGTCGAAACTGAGCTTTGCCGAGGAGCGCCTGCAGCTACGTACTAATAATCGCAGACCTCCTGCATAATGGGATTTTGAGAAAAGACACTTTAAAAGCTTGGTAATAGTCCTGTTCACACACGCACACGCACACACACATACGCACGCATGTACACACACACACACACACACACACACACACACACACACTACTACTACTACTACTATAGCATGACTGCCCATTGGGCAATGTCACCCCCGGAGGGGGCCAGAGTTTGGAGTGCACCGTCATTGGCAGGACTTCTGGTGCCTCGTCAAATCTTGCTGTCGTCGGAAACGTTTCGGGCAATGCATGCAGATCAGCGGCAGTGATTCCCTATCGGCTGCAGCAAGACGTTTTCCACGGTTGCAGTTATGGCGGTTAAAACCAGCCCGGGACTTGAAGCAGCGATTGCAGCGTTGACAATGCTGGAAGCAGCAACTAGCGAGAGACGCCGTCAATGCCGTATCTGCATGTTCAGGGAGTGCAGGCTGGCAGCGATGAACTGCAAGCCCACCCTTACTACGGAACCATCGGCAGCAACTGACGCACTGTGCTGAACCACGCTGTTGGTGGACGGGAAATTGGCGCTCAGCCAAACACTTGTGCCGTGCCTTGTCTTGAGGACGAGAGAAAGCCCGGTTGCAAGATGAGCAGAGTACGGATTTCTCTACTGCCCGAGGAGGCTGAAAAACCAGAACCTGCTCTCGCCAAGCTGACCGGTCTTGTGCGCAATCAAACCAGTTTGGAATGGACTTCGTGTCAGTAGCCACAACGTCTCTCCACCTACGCCTGGGACCGCAGAAGGGGCGCGCAGCCAACAAACGACCAAACAACAGCTGCAATGGGACACGGTCCTCCGACATCCGAGCCACATGACCAAGCCACTCTAAACGACGATGGCGCATCTTAACAGAGAGTGGCACTGGGTCACCCCAGTGACGACGTAACTGCGCAGACGTGATGCGATCGGATTGCTGCTGACTGCGAGGGATGGCTAATATTGTGCGGATGCAGCGATGATGAAAGGCATCCAAACGTCTACTATCAGCTTTCAAGGGCGTCCAGCACTCACTGCCGTACAGCAAAATGGACAAGACACAGGCCACGTATAGCTTTCGCTTACTGACTAATGACAGCGAGCGATCCGACAAGACTGGAAGAAGAGCTCCAAAGGCTTTGGAAGCCTCAGCTATGCGGCGACTGACGTCAGTAGAGGAGCGGGCATCCGGTGTCACGACGGACCCCAGATAAATGAAGGATGGAACGTGCTCCACAGTATCACCGTTGACGTTCATATCGGCTCTATCAGGCATGTTGACTTGGCTACCTGCCACGAGAAATTTCGTTTTAGCAGCGTTGACGCAGAGGCCAAAGGAAGAGGCAACCGTGCAGAATGTTTCAAGGCACTTCTCAGCACCAGGGCGGTCTTCAGCGAGCAAGACCGCGTCATCTGCGTACTCAATGTCGTTGATGATTGCGGCAGTAGACTGGCGAGCGGGCTTTGAGAAAAGGTTGCCATTGATGCTAAATTGGATGGGGATGCCAGGTGGATGGTCGCTGTCCTGCATCATTTGTGCCCACCGCTCAAGCACAACACCGAAGTACAGATTAAAAAGTACTGGGGCCATCACACAGCCTTGACGGAGGCCATTGTTGACCGCAAACGGCTCGGTAGTGCTGGCACCGACGCGCACAGCTGCCTGCATGCTCTCGTGGAACGATTGGATTAGATTGAGGAGCCCTTCAGGAATGCCTAGCCTCCCCAATGCTAGCCAGAGTGCTTGGCGTGGTACGGAATCATATGCTTTCTTCAGGTCTACGAAGACACAGAACAGCTTCTGACGGTGCTCGTACGATTTCTCGATGAGCTGGCGAATGGAAAAGATGGCATCAGCGCAGCCGCGACCAGGGCGAAAGCCACACTGGGATTCTGGAAGTTCTTGTTCCGCGACAAGTTGGAGACGGTCCTGAATGAGACGGCCACAAACCTTGCCAGCGACATCTAGGAGGGCAATGCCGCGCCAGTTGTTGCAGTTGGTCAAGTCACCCTTTTTGGGAATCGGGACGAGTTGGGCATCCCGCCAATCCTGGGGAACCGTTCCGTTGGTCCATGCAGTGTGAATAACATCAAGCAGAGCCTCAAGCAATGGTGTACCACCAGCTTTAAGCAGTTCAGGTGCAATTCCAGATGAGCCAGGAGCCTTGCAATTAGCCAGCTGGCGTATAGCCATAGTGAGGTCCTCTAGCGAGGGAAGTTGGCCGAGTGACTCATCAACTTCACGCTGCTCAATGTGGTCAAAGATGGTAGCATCGAAGGTGCTGCGAACGTTCAATAGACGGGCAAAATGCTGCAGCCAGCATTTCTCTTGCCCCTCCTGGGAGCTACAGATAACTCCGTCACTGCCACGGATGGATGGGATGGAGATAGGTGATAATCCCGAATAGCACTTCTGTATATCACGGATTGCAGACCATGCGTGCTTGCCACTAAACCGACTTGACTCAACCACATTAGCTTTACGTCCAATCCACTCACTCTTTGCGTTACGCACGGCAGTTCTGCACTTGCCACGAGCCTCGACAAAGCGACGCCTGTCAGCGTCAGAACCAGAGGCGAGCCATTTGCGATGTAAGGCATTGCGGCTATCCAGCATAGGTGCAAGAACATCAGCACACGCTTCAAACCAATCAGGCTGGCGACGACGTGGACGGCCAAGATGCTTCTCAGCGCTGGTGACGATAGCAGATTTGACGGCAGACCATTTGTCCTCAACGCAGCCATCATGATTCCAGGATCGTAACTCTGACGCAACAGACGTCGCATATTGTTCACGAGTTTTACAGGTTGCAGCTCTCTGCGCTTCCGTCATGCAGGAGTGTTTGACAAGTTGTTGCACATCAAACTTGACAGGTCTTTTTGCACGCTTGTGGCAAGCAGATGAGCGGATGCGGTATGTGAGACACACAAGGTTGTGATCTGTACTACACTCAGCTCCCCTGATGACATGGCAATCCATGCAGTTGGACAGGTCTTGTTCCCGGACCATAGGGCTTGAAAGTGATGACGTCAAAAACGGCCTGGGAGTAGTAAATTGACATCAGATTTCTATTTTGGATCCACTAAGGTGTGACTTTGCTATTGCCTCAGTATGTGGGTGCATAGCAACCCACTCATGTCGTATGCAGGTGCAACTTTTGCTTCGCCACCAGTTGTCACCCCGCCCCCACTAGCCGAATCAGTCAGTTTCACTGGCAACATCACCTTGCTGTGAGTGAGACCGCTTGAAATGTGCTTGGATCCATACAAAAACTGGATCCAGGTGGATCCAGTTTTCGAATTTTTCAAATTGTTGCTATGCCATTGCTATGGAGTGACGTAGCACTTTCAAGCCCTATTGCATAGTCGATGCAGTGCCACCGCTTCGAGCGGGGATGTTGCCAGGTACACTTGTGGATGTTACGTTTCATGAACCAGGTGTTGCACACAGTAAGGCTGTTGCACGCTAAAAACTGGAGAAGCTCAGCGCCAGCCTCATTGACAGTGCCAACACCATGTGGGCCACGTGTTCCATACCAGCCATCGTCACAGATTTCAGCTCCAACTCTAGCGTTGACTTGAAGTCTCCCAAGATTATCAAGGAGTCCTGGGTGGGTACGGACAGAATAACTTCCTGAAGAGAGTCAAAGAAATCGTTCTTTGCATCGCGACTGGACCGGAAAGTCGGTGCGTAGCACACCACGACGTGGACCCAAATGTCACCGAACTTTAGCTTGCAGCGTGCGACACGCGATGAGACAGCAGACCACTGATTTCCCCCTGCTACGAACGCTTGCTGTGCGCGTCCGCGTAGTACGACTCCAACTCCTTCGCCTCGTTTGAAATCGTCCGTTGGGATGGCGCGACCTGACGTGAGAACAATTGCATCCTCGACACGGAATATATCTTTACCAAACCACTTCGACTCCTGGAATCCAGCCACTTCTATTTCGTACCGACGAAGTTCACTGACAACGATGTTGATTTTCTTGTCTTCCACGACGCGCTTTCCACGAGCAGCAGTTGAAACCGGGCCATCGATGTTCACTAAAGTCCTGACGTTCCACGAAGCAAATTTGACAAGAGCACCAGCTGGGCGCCTCCGACGGGTGCCTCCAAACTCTGGCTGCTTTGAAGCTGAAACTCTACACATCCGAGGGGTAGCTAGCCCACTGCGGATGGAGGACTACGGACGACGCGACAGTGACAATATCAAATTCAAATAATTGTCCTGTAAGTCACGTCGTTGGATCCGCTGCCCTAAATTCAAAAGGTCTACACTTGACACGCCAGGGGCTCTCCTAGCAAGCTAGGAGAGCCCTGAGTGTACCTACGCTGCTTCGGAGGCTCTAACTAGTCTCAGCAAATAGAAAAATTCCGGAGCTAGAAAAATTCAAACTGTCCCCCAAGAAGACAGTCCACACACACACACACACTCACACACACACACACATGCGCACGTACATGTGTATGTGCGCACGTGCACACACACGCACACACACGCAGACACACACACATACGAGTGCATGTGTGCACGTGCATACACACACAGACACACACACAGACACATACGTGCGCATGTGCACGTGCACACACAGACGCACACATACACACATGCACACACACACGCAATCGCATGACGAAACTCTCAACGCGTCATGGGCAGCATTTTGGCTAGTGCTAATGTCGGGCACCTGGCGTGGTTAAGGAGGAACGTAGGAGAAAATGAGAAGAAGAAAAAACATTCCATTATCCAACACTGCAGCAGACTGCACTATTCTCAAACTGCAACGTTGCCATAAATTCCCACAGCCAAGGAGCAA